AGAGCGCTCCAGATGTCATATGGGTAATATTGGGGGATTTCAATGCGGTTCATCTTCCTGAAGAAAGAAAATGTACTATTTTTTACTCTAAGGAGGCTTTGGCTTTCAACAGCTTTATTTCTTCTTCTGGGCTGCATGATATTCATTTTTGCGGGAGACGTTTTACCCGCTTTAGCAAGGATGGTGTAAAGATGAGCAAGTTGGATTGCTTCCTGGTAACTTCTAACTTTTTCTGTGTTTGGAAAGATCCTTATGTGCAAGTTTTACACAGATCTATTTAAGATCATTGTCCTATTCTCTTGAAAGTAGACGATTTCAATTTGGGGCCTAAACCATTTACAGTTTTTGACTCATGGTTGGGTATTGTCGATTTTCAAAATTTGGTTCTTTCATCTTGGACTTCATGCTCTTTTCATGGGGCTGCTGACTTTGTGCTAAAAGAAAAGTTTAAAGCTCTCAAAAAAGATTTGAGGCTTTGGTCAAAAAATTTCATTGCCAAAGAATCTAAAAGGAAAGATGAAATTAATAAAACTTTGTTAGATTGGGATTCTAAAGCTGAGAAGGGGGGATCTCAGAAGTTGACTGCCAAAAAAGAGATGAATAGGTCTTTGAATGATTGCAATTGGAAAATGGGGCAAATTTGGATCTCAAACAAAAATCGCGTTCAAAATGGGAACTTGAAGGGGATGAAAACACGAAGTTCTTTCATAACATTGTTAATCACAGTTGGCGAAGGAACAAAATTAGAGGCATTATTTGCAATAGGGTTTGGAACTCAGATCTTATGGTCTGCAGAAATGCTTTCTTTCATCATTTTGCTGACAGATTTAAAGAGCCTTGCCCTTCTAGACCAAAATTCTTTAGTCCTCTTTTCAATAAATTATCGCTTGAAGAGGCTGTTGTTCTGGAAGCTTCCTTTACTGCTTTGGAAATAAAGGAGGCTACATGGTCTTGTAATGGGTTAAAAGCTCCGGGGCCTGATGGTCTAAATTTTAACTTTATAAAGAGATTTTGGCTAGTGATTTGCAACTCTGTGACTGATGCGGTTTTCCACTTTGAAAAAACGGGCATGATTAACAGGGGATGTAATGCTTCTTTTATCGCTTTAATTCCTTAAAAAATTGACCCTTTGGATATCTCGGACTATAGGCCCATCAGTTAGCTTGGTTGCATGTATAAAATAATTGCAAAACTCTTGGCCAACAGGTTGGTGAAGGTCATGAGTAAGCTTATTAGCGACAATCAATCCGCCTACATCCCGGGTCGGCAAATGTTGGATGGATGTTTAATTGCTAATGAAATTGTGCACCATGCTAAAAAGAAGAATATGAAATTGTTTCTTTTCAAGGTGGATTTTGAAAAAGCCTATGATTCGGTTAATTGGAATTTTCTCTTTCACACTATGAAGCAAATGGGGTTTGGTGATAAATGGATACAGTGGATTTGCGCGTGCTTGAAATCAGCTTCCACCTCTGTTTTGATTAATGGTACGTGATATGTGTTGAGAATTTAACACATAACGCGCTCTTTTTACGTCTTTTTAATTATAATAATTTCTTTTCATTCCCACTTTGAGTCCTTTTAATTTATTTCTTTATACTTTTGTTATTATGAAGCTAAATGTTGTGGTTGACTTGATGGCATGCAAAATTGAAGCTAATTGAGAGTTTTTGTGAAAACAGCAAATGCTACAGCATTGGTGCAGCGTTGACCTGGGTCTTGCACGACTTTTTGGAGGACTTAATGAACAAGACGTTGGCTTTTTGAAGGTGGAATACAACTGTAAAATGGCTGGATTTTTAGTAGAAAATCAGTTGTACTTTTTAGTTAAGCTTTTGTACTCTCTAGTTAAGCTTTTGTACTTTTTAGTTGAACTTTGGTTAAAGGTTGTACTTTTTAGTTAAAGCTTTTGTTGTAATGTAACTAGTGTTGGTAAACTTAGCCTCCAAACTTAGTTCTTTTGTCTTTTAGTGCCCATTTTGGGTATAAATAGGAGGCTAAGGTTACCATATTTCATACCAATTAATCCATCATCCATTGGATTCTCTCTACTTTTTCTCCCAACTTTTCTTCCTTTTCTTTTAACCCTCTCCAAGGGTGTTCTTCAAGTTCTTCAAGTTCATCTTCATCTTTTTCTTTATTTACTTTCTTATCTTTTATTTTCCGCTATTTATTTTCTCGTCTTTACATTTCCGTCAT